GAAAGGAGCCCGTGGCTATGGGACCACAAACCGGCCCTGAGAAAGTTTCCACTGTCTGAGCCCAGCCTCTCAGCCCTGGTCTTTGCATGCCAGCCAGGGCTAATGCAAGACTCAGCCAGATCTGAGCCAGAGAATGGGATCATGGCAAAGGGATTTGGCTGTCGCAAAGCCAGCCTTGTCTGCTCCACCGAGGTTCTGCTCACCCAGGGAGGCAGCAGAGAGGGAAGCAGATGGGCTGGAAGCAATTTGGTCCCAGCGTCCTCTCAGCAGATGCTGGGCACCATAAGAATTAATGGGCTGGAGACTCAGGTAAGAGCCATTCAGAAGCTCCCTGATTACTCCCCAAACCACTCTCTATGGAAGAAAAGGTTAATCGAAGCCCAGAGCTGGAAGAGAGGCGAGGAGACAGCAATTGCTTTAATCCGGGAGCGGGGGAGGCGCTCCAGGAGAAAGAAACGTGCACACAGGAGGCTGTGGCACAAAGGAAGCGGGTTGCACCAAGGCCTAAAAATCGAGTTATTCGCTCCATCAGCGCCAAAGCCAGAGCCTCAGGCCAGCCACCCTCCAGACTCCAGCCAAGTAGCTGGGGTTTTGTTTTTTTGTTTTTTTGAAACACTGCACGCTTGCTGCACTGCTGGCCATACGCCTCTCTGGAAACCATCTCTGATGAGATTTTTCCCCATAATGATCCCACAAGACCTGCCTTTTACATATATCCTGAGCGTGCCCATATACATCGTGGGTCACTACTCTCCGTGCCGAGAGTCAGTCCTTTTCAACTCCAACCCAGAGCGCAGGCTGGTCAATACGCCGTGGCTCCATCCTGAGGCTGGCTCAAGTCAGACACTGGCCAGAGAGGATAACGTTTGGACATAAATAAGAGGAGACGAAGGAGGGGACACACTGCACATTTCTACACTGCACAATGGCATGGTTGGGACTGTCTTGTACAATAAGATGTCCACAGAGCCAGTGGGCTTACATCAGGTTTCCCAATTTCAGCATTATCTGAAGAATTATTCAAATAATTCTTGGTTGGGGGCAAGGGGTGCTGCCCTGTGCATTACAGGATGTTTAGGAGCATCCCTGGCCTCTACCCACTAGATGCCAGTAGCACATCCCCCACCCCAGTCGTGACAAAAATGCCTCCAGATTGCCAAGCGTCTCCTGGGGGTCAAAATCACCTCAGTGAGGACTACCGGTTTACACTGGAGCCGATTAACTGGCTAATGACCATTCTTAGCCATGCTTCTGACATTAGCTCCAAAATCAGGCCAACACTGCTAGGGACTGAAGATCCTTGGCCAGGGAAGACGCTTGCACCAGATATTAGTTTGTCTGGATGGCCCTGAACTTAAGCCTCTTTTCTTCCCGCACCTACTCAACCCTTCACCTTCATCCTGCCTGACAAGGTAATTCTTTATTCATCTTGACATTGTAACGGCACAAAGGCAGCCTCTAGCTTGAAGAAGCTAACACTTTAATTGATTCTAAGGAAAACTGGCATCATTTTGATAGGAACCCAGACATAATATGCAAAAATTTCAGACCGCTGTTATTGTTGTCTCTTTGCACGGTTAACACTTTCTCATCTGGAAGCTTTCAGCTCAAATTTCCCTTCCTGAGCACAAAACTCACCTCCTGAGTTCAATTCTCACCTCCTCAGCTCCTATCCCACCTCCTGTGAGAGGCTTTTCCTGAACAACCTCTCTCCTCCCGATCAGCCACTCTCACTTATACATATGCTTGTCTTTTTTCCCCATTCACAAATTACTACCTGAAATTGTTTGTTTGTCTGTTTATTGTCTGACCCCTTCCGCCAGAATGGATGCTCCAGGGGCCAGGAACCTTCTGTCTTATTCACCGCTGTATCCTTAGCACAAAGTTTGGCATTCTTCCTGGCCCAGGAACTGTTTATTAAATAAGTAAATGGATGAGTGAATTTGCGTTGATACAATTTTTAAAGTATTCCTTTCCTTCATATCCCCTCCTCATTTTATTCATGAGCATTCTTCACAGTCTTCAGGGCCCCAGCATCATCTTTAAATAATGTGAAAATAATTCCCTACCCTGATACTCCTAGTTAGCTGATCAAAGAAATTCAAGTACCTGCTTGGTTTCTGAAAACTGAACAGTCAGGCATTTCCCTCCTGATATCCTTGATCTTCAAGTCCTGAGAGATGTCAATGTAAATGAAGGGCTGCTCCCCTCTTAGTAGAGCCAACTTCACAAACACCCAGATTGACAAATCTTTACTCTACAAAAGAGCTTCTTTATTTCAACTCCCATGGCATCTCAGTGTTTGAGGAGAGGCCATTAACTAATTGACAGAGAAACTGTTTAGGGGCAGGCAGGCAGAGAAGCTAAAATTAAATGACAAGAGGCTTTGCCAAGTGGAGTGGATTCAGAAATGATAAACCATCTTGGGGGATCAATGAGAAAGAAAGAATCAAATGATGAGCATTTAAGTTTATCAAAACACTATTGATGTGCAGGGGGATGTTTTGTTTTTGTTGTTCCAAAATTAATTTTCCACTGGGTCCATTGCCTAAACCATTTTACCCACAAGCCTTGCGCCAATCTGTCTGTCAAGGAATTACTCATTATGCAAAGCATTCCATCCGTCCATCTGTCCATCCATCCATCCATCCACCCACACATTCATCCATCCACCCACCCACTTACCCATCCACCCACCCATTCTCCCATCCATCCGTCCATCCATCACTCTACCCATTTATCTAAGTAGATCTGCAAATACTTGTGCAAAGCACTCTGTATCTATCTATCTACCTATCTATCTGTCTATCTCTATGGATCTTGCGTTACATAATTCAAGCCCATTCCCCCAGCTTTGCCTGAGAATTAGAAAATCTTTGTACTAGTTGAGGCAATTTTATTTTCTGGAAAAATAGAATAGAGATTGAGAAGGTGGAGTCTGATGTCATACAGCCTTGCATCTCACACCCACCTCTGCAATGCACTTCTTGTGTGACCTTGGTCAACTTCCTTAACTTCTCTGACCATTAGATATCTTCGGAAATTGGGTATAATAAGAACACCTACGCAATAGTGGTATTTAAGAATTCAATGGGAGAAGCCAATTCCTGGCAAATGGTAAATGTTAGTTAGGGTGGGGATAATGATAATTCCACCAAGTTGCTAACCACATTCAAACTGTTTTCCTTTTTTTTTCATTTCTAGGTCACCTGGCTCCCACGTAACCACCACTTGGAGACCAGGGAAGCATTCACCACTGACAGTTAGGGCTTTCTTGATACACCCTGGGAGCAGCCTGATGAGGGGAAAGCTGACACTAGGGATGTCAACCATACTCAGCTTCCTCATTGTATTAATCTGGCTGTAAAGCAGAGAGAGTCCTCCTGATGCCGCCAGATGCAAAGCTCTGCTGTGCTAATGGCAGACAGCATTAGAGGAGACCTTGCAGCCCATCAGTCCCTCTCCCCCAACTCACAACAGCTGCCCGGGGACAGATCAGCCAAGCAAGGGATGAGGACCGATGCAATTAATACTGGGGAGAAGCGGATGCACGGAAGAAGGGGCTTAATGTTCCAATGCAGGCTGGGCCCTGGGCAAGCCCAGCAATGAAAGCTAAGAGGCAGGCCCACTTGTGGTACCTGTGCCCTAGGATGGAACGGGCAATGCCTTCTCTAGGAACACACAGCACCAGGAGGAGAAGTGGGAACTGACCCAGAGCTCCGAGCACATCTTCACATTACCTCTGCATGGCTGGCTGTTCCGAGCTCTGCTACATCTACCATCTTGCTCGTGGCATCTGGGTACCATTTGGGGCACCGCTTTCTTCCAGAACCGCTTCCTAGCCTCTCTTGTCTGACCTGCCTGCAGGCAGCTGAACAGGATCCCGTCCTGAGTCCCACGAGGGGCTGAGGCCCAGCATGGAGTAATATCTGGCCGCAGGCTTGTGCCAACAGTTTACAGAAAAACATTGGCACTTTGGTTTGGTTCCAATGTCTCTTTAACACGGGAAATCAGAACTCAGAAAGACAACAACATCCCCAGCTCCCTGAGGACCTAGAACCAGATGAGACTGGTAAGAGTGTTGTCTGGAGACAAATTGAGTCACTTCCCCAGTGGTGTGCACAAATGCACAAAGTCGGCCCCGTGCCGTGGCCAGCTGTGCATCGAGGCTCAGATCCCCGGGACCAACGGGCATGAGCCTGAGAGCAGTCACTGCCCATGGGCAAGCTGTCACCCCCACGATGTGCTGGCCAAAGCCATGGGCACATCACTTCTCTTTCCCATGGCGGTTTTGAAGGGCTGACTGGGTGATGTCCACAGTGAAGGATATAAGAGGACCAAGAACAGAAGCATCTAGAACACAGCCGCTCCACCCCCGGCACATAAGATTTCACTACCAAAGTTCTGGATACAGACTATTTGCCCAAGGGTTCTCCTGACTCTAGTAAGTTTTCCTTCTGGGGAAGAACTGATAAAGAAGAGAAGAGGAATCATGTTAAATCCACGCTCTGGAAGTTCTCTCATATTACCTGGACAGAGTGGAGATGACGTGTTTCCCAAAGTGGCTCATGCTCCTCTGTGAGTGCATTCACATGGTTTTAGAGAGCACCCAAAGGAACATTTTGATTTAATTTAGCAGTTTTATGTTTACTTTAATATTTTGGAAAATATAACTAGCACATCAAACTTGAGATTTCACCAACATTATTGCGTGAGGCAGGGTGGGTATCTCAACCTCAGCACTATTGACATTTGAGGCCGGATCGTTCTTTGTGGTGGGGGGCTGTCTTGGGCATTGTCAGCTGTTTAGCTGCATCCCTGGCTTCCTGATACCTACTAGATGCCAGCAGCACTCCACCAAGTTGTGACAACCAAAAATGTCTCCCATTAAACCCACTTTCTGAGCCATGGGGCCAAGAGGATGCACAAATGTCCCCCGGAGGGGGGTCCAGGAATACCTGTGTGGAGACAAGTGACAAAGGCCAAGGGAAGGTACTAACCTGGGTCTCCAGGGTGATCAGTGGACTCCGGTGTGGGTCCTGTGGGGGAGAAAGGAAAAAACACACACATTGGTAGTGGGGAAAAATTAATGTACTACCCCAGCATCATTTTAAAACTAAGTCCATTATCCTCTGTGCTCAGGCAACCCCATGGGGAGGGCAGCCCAACTCTGTCTCCCCCATTCCATGGAAACATTAGGAGAGCTTGGCCCAATCTGCTGCCCCCAACTTCCCCTCCCACATTCAAGCAATTAGGGGGGCTCAAGTTTTTCATTAAGAGGCGCCAGCACGAAGATCACGCGAAATGATGAGGTAGAAAGGCATAAGAAACAAAGCACACCAGCCGAATATCTCAAAGCGCGTTCTCTATATGGAGGAGAGGCTGGACCCAGAGAGGACAGGAAACAAACCTGGAAGAATATAAAACCCTTATGAGGGGCAAAAGGTCCCTGGGCAGTGCAAACGGTTTGCACTCGACCACTAACCTAAAGGTTGACAGTTCAAACCCACTCAGCAGTGCCACAGAAGAAAGGCCTGGCAATCTGCTCCCATAAAGAGTACGACCAAGAAAATCCTATGGACAATCAACTCTATAAGACTAAATGGTCACCATTTACCCAAAAGCAAAGATGGGAAGGCAAGGAGGGGAAGGGAAGCTAGATTAGTGGAAACAGAAGAAACAGAATGGAAATAATGAGAATGCTGACACATTGTGAAAATTGTAACCAACGTCATGGAACAATTTGTATAAAACCTCTTAAATGGGAACCTAATTTGCTGTGCAAACTTTCACCTAAAACACAATAAAATATTTTTTTTAAAGACCCTATGGAGCAGTCTTACTCTGTAACACATGGGTTGTCATGAGTCTGAATCAACTTGATGGCAACAGGTTTTGTGTGTGTGTGTGTGTGTGTGTGTGTGTGTGTGTGTGTGTGTGTGTGTGTGTGTGTGTGTTTGGGGGGAGGAGGGCCGCAGCCATCAATTTGTGTCTGATCTTGGAAAAAAATGAGGGAAGGAATGAGATGGAGACAGAGAAAGAGAGGCGCTCAATTCCTGGTTTGAGTAGCACGTTCCAATGGGCTGGGGAAGATCCTTTTCAGGACACAGAAGGCCGGAGTAACGTCCTATTCATTCACTCTCTACAAAAGCCAATTGACTAGAAATGCTTGGTGGTAATGTCTCGGGTCATTAAACATGAACTCTTTGTGGGGGTGGTGGGGAGAGCAGGGTGGATACAGAAGGGGAAGAAACTTATGGGGAGGGGGTAGTGGCTTTCAGCAAGTGGTTTCCAAGGAAAACAGGAAACCTAGTACATAAAGACTATTTTTGTCTGCACCATGTCCGCTCTGAACGTAACCATCTCAGACTCAGAAGTCTGGGAAAATAACCTTAAGCTGCCTCTGACAGAAATGGGCCTGATTTTAGCGCCCTGAAGTACACACTCAGTTTGCAACTATGCTTTATTCTAGCAGATATTCAAACGTGTTCTTCTAGGCACTAGCCTGCTGCTGGCCTATACTGGGAACAAAAAGTAGTGTAAGGAAATTGGAACATTTTAAACCCCTAATCGCCTCGTATGCATGCGGAAGTTGGATAATGAAAAAGGAAGATAGAAGAATTGATGCATCGGAACTGTGTTCTGGCCAAGAATACTGAATAGACTGTGGACTGCCAGAAGCAGGAACAAATCAATCTTAGAAGAAATACAACCAGAACGTCCCTTAGAAGCAAGGGTGGCAAGACTTCAACTCATTTACTTTGGTCACATCATCAGGAAAGAAGAATCGCTAGAAAAAGACATCGTGTTTGGTCAGTGAAAATGAGGGAAACCCTCAGAGAGGTAGATTGACACAATAGCTGCAGCAATGAACTCAAACACACCAACAATCATGAAGATGGCAAAAGGCTGGGTAACATTTTGTTCTGTTATACAGAAGGCCGCCATGAGTTGGAGTCAACTCAATGGCAACAACCAACCACCGCCCTAGGTGAACTGTCATTCACCTTTTTGATCACTTCCTGTGGAATCTTTAGAACAAGGCCTAATTCTTATGAGCGCGAGAGGCATGATCTCAGTAGTGTTTTGGGCTCTGGTCAGTGCTGACCTTCCTCTCCAGATAAGGGACTGACTCATCTTCCCCAATTCCAGGTACGAGTCCCATTCCCAGCACTTCCCCAATGGAGCCGCTCACAATACGTTGCCAAGAGAAGTCTCCCTCCAATTTCCACATTCTCCCAGGACATGGAGGGAACATTTCTCTCCCTCTCCCCACATTTCAGGTTTGGCCCATAAAGGAATGTGGGAATGTCCTGAAGAAAATGCTTTGGGTCTTCCTCTTCAAGCCCTTACTAGCTCCTTCCCAGGGATGAAGACGTGACTAACTGCTGAGAACCGGACACTCACTACACCACTTTTTTCCAGTAAGCAGGGTCACTACTATAGCCATCTCTCATGGAGTCCCTCCAGCCAGCAAATCTACCACCTGCCCCAGGAAGAGTGGACTCCATACTTCTTGTTGCCATGTGCCTGCCCGGTAAGCACACTAGGCAGGGCCTGTTTTTGTCTTCTAGAAGCATAATCATCCCCCTGGTCTATGTGAGCGAGACCTTGTACATGCTGCCTAGGAGTGAGAGCAAGCAAAGTTTGCTCTTTGGGTCGGAGTCAGTCAGTGGCTGGCTGTCTCTCCATGCAGATCCCACCATCTTGATTTTGACTAGAAGATAAGAAGCTGCTTCTCAGCCTCAGACATTAGTCTCAAGACGACTTCCTCACCAAGCCTTGCACTGCGCTCTTGCGTGCTTACCCAAATTAATTAAGCTGTACTTCACAGCCAATTTGGCTATTGTCTGGGGCTTATGCTTCATTGCTCAGACTCCAGAGCGGGTGGAGCAGGAGAATGCCATCCTGAACTCCTCAGAATAACTTCCCTGGGTAAGACCCTTCTTAGGAAGCTACAGGAAACCCCTGTCAACTGTGTTGACAAAACCAAGAGGTTGATCTCTGGACACGGAAGCACTGCGTCTTTATTCGGTGTTCCAAAATTGGAACCCCTATCAGCACATGGTCAGGGGTCCAAGATTCATTAAAAGGCTTCCCGAGGGCAAAAGCACAAAAGAAATTGACTTAGCTTGTTAATTAACTAGGGAGGAAGAGGATAAAGTACTCACAAGTGGCCACATCATTAACACTTGGGATTCACTTGCCAACAAAATTGTGCTCCACTCTGTCTTGTGCACATTCCAGATGCAAGTCTCTCCCCAAAGAGGCCCAGTCCAGTGGATTCAAGATATGACTGCCTATCAGCGAGGTCTCACTTTCAGCAACATCCTCAACTGGAAAGGCTAACGAAGTGGAACTGGGTCAGTGACACTGCCTGCCTAATCCATTGTGTCTGTCTAAACTGGGACTCTTCAGTTTACAGTAAATTCCTGTCTGTCAGAGGAAAGGCTTCCGGAGACCAAAGGGGAATTTGTAACGTGCTAGGATGCTACAGTGGAGTGCTTCTAGAATGTTAATGCAGGTACCAGGAACCACAGCCCAGCCTTTCTTATTTATTGCAATGAGTAAATTGGGGAAGTCAAATGGGGAACAAGGTTGACTGAATTTGTGGCCCTCGTTCTTCACCACTCCCTAGAACCACACCCTTTGGTCATGTGACTTTGCACTTCTTCCTATTAGAGGCAGAGTGTACTTCCCCATGCCTTAACCTTGACCACATGACTTGCTTTGTCCAATGGGAGGGTAGCAAAGGTGACAGAAGCAGAGGCTCGCAGTATGCTTGCATGATTGAGCATGACCTCTTGTGCTTTTGCCATCGCCATGAGGAGAACATGCCCCACAGAGCCTGCAGGTCCAAAGAAGATGACAGACACGTGGAGCTGGACCTGGCCTGCAGCTTGGAGCCAAGGATGGCCCAGATTAGAATACCCACAGCTGACCCTCAGACACATATATATATGCTCCGGATGGCACAAACGGTTAAGTGCTCAGCTACTAACCGAAAGGCTGGCAGTTCTAGTCTACCCAGAGGCACTCGGAAGAAAGGCCTAATGATCTACTTCCGAAGATCACAGCCATTGAAAACCCCATAGAGCACAGTTCTACTCCGACACACAGGGGGTCAGCATGAGTAGGAAACTGACTTAACAGCAAATGGTTTGTTTTGTTCTTGTCATATATATGTATACACATATAAATATATATATGTGTGTGTGTATGTATACGTATATATATGTGCGTTTGTGCATACATATATGTATACATAGTATATATATCTCAAATATCTTGTTGTTTCAAGCCGCTGAGTTTTGGGATGGTTTGTTATACAGCATCACTATGGCAATCATTAACGAATACTTTCCAAAGACTAACCCTGACAGACCCAAAAACTACTCGTAACAAACCCTCACAGCCTTGGAACCGAAATGATACATACTCTTTTCCTAAATCTGCAAATACATTCCAGGAACCTGAAACCACTACAACTAACAGCTATCCTTTCTCGAGGGCCTACTCTGTGCCAGGTTCTGCAGTAGCAGTCCCATTATACCGAGAGGGAAAATATGCCACCAGTAGGACCTCACACCAGTTCTTCCAAACGCCTTCTGCTTACAAACTATCACAGCTACCCTCCTCACCCGTGTGAACAAAAATGAGGTCCCTTCATAATGACAGTGGTCCAAAGACAAGCTAAGTGGTCAAGCTAAAGCATCTGACCTTTACTCTTTCTCTCTCTTACAAAATTTATTATTTCACGTCATTACAACAACATTAAAGGAAATGATCACTCAGGATCCTCTTGCCCTGAGTTATAGACGGTTTTCATTCTTCTGGTTTATTCTAAACTTTATCCCAGGGACACAGTACTTGACCAAGGTTTAGAACAATCATGAATAGCAGTAATAACTGACATTTGTTGAGTACTTACTATGCTCCAGGGACTAGACTAACCTCTCTACATACATCATTTCACTTACCCCTGACATCAATCATATGAGGCAGATACTATCATTATCCTCATTATGTTCTTGTTAGC